ATCCATTTAACAGTCACAGTTAATCTCTATAGGGGGTGGGCAGCCACCATAACTGCTTTAGGGGTTATAAACCACTGCTGACAGCAAGATGATGGAGCTGAGCCAGGTATCACAGACAGAAAACAATGAATTACCTACATGAGAGAAAGGAGGCCTCCTCAAGGAGTGAAGGCAGGTTGCAACAAGAGAAAAGGGCATAGAGTACAATCCCATAGAGTAGAGCAGAAGGGAACAAAATGACTCAGAATCTGCAGCAGTGACTGAAACAGTGGCTAGAGGGCTAACACTGTTGAATGAAATTTAATTCATGGCTCGAATGGGGTCATGTTGTGGTTAGCTAAAATGTTGGCCTTTGAAACAGATTGACTACCTCGGCATTCAACCTAATTTCATTTGTTTATCTGAAGCCATGTAATTGTGAATGTCAGTATATTTCTTGTCATCTCCTTGGCTCTGAATATTTTTGTAGAGCTTCTCGCTCTCCTGCACTTGGTGGCACTGTCTGGGAGCTGCCATTTATTTTGCTACAGAGACCTAAGGTAATACCACCCCTAGGCCCTTGTGGTGGTGGGGGGGAATGTCAGCCCTAAGTGAGAGTAATTATTCACCATTTTAATTTCCTCCAAAGCTACAGGAGGATGGCACATTGGGAATAATAAATGAAATAGAAATGGCAACTCAGTGCCATCTGGCTCTCTAACCACCGTGCTGTTTCTTACCACACCCCACCAAATTTGGGGGACTGGCCACTGATATAGAAGAGGCATCTGACCAACACCCACACACTTCAAACCTACACTTAGCCTTTGAAACTGGGCCTTTTCAGATGGTATTTAGTTTGCCTTTTCAGCACTATAGTTCCATCCCTATATAATGGTAGCCTTCCTCATGTTCTGTTTGATTGAATGTTCTCTCTCTTTGTGTATCTGTCCTTTTTTAACATTTAGAGGAAAATTGTACAAGCCAGCACTATAAAGCAGGACCCAAGGACCCACAGCCTACATAGAGATAATCAACAATAGAAGCAAAAGCAAAATAACAACACTTATCACAAGTTAAAAGAAGAAACAGAAACTTCTCAGAGAAGCAAAGCTCCCTTACTAAGCTGGCTGCTGACACCAGAATATAACCTTATTATATTGATGAAAAAGACCAAAAAAGAAAAAGAAGCACTTGACACAGGAGCTCTTGTCCGAAGACTAAGAACGGCCCCAAAAGAGAGCTAATTCATGAACTATTAGGGTGGTGGGCTCGTCCACTACAACTGGAGAAGCTGTATGAAGGAGAAAATAAGCATCAGTCTGCTCGTTATAGTTAAGAGTATGAGAGCATACTTATGGCACATACTCAGTTCGCTTGTTGTGAGCCATGTGACACTAGAGAATCTGGAGTCTCCCCGGGAAGGAAAGTCACTAGAAAAAATGCCAGAGGTGGGGCTTGACACCATTCTTCCCAGGGGCAGTTTGTATTTATTGTTTGAACTCACCTCAAGCAGACCTGGCACAGACATCTGGCACGAATTTTTCCAAAATCTTATCTACAATTTTTCTGCACTATCCATAAAAATGGTGCATAAGCCTGAGGAAGTGAATTTTATCCTCAAAAGCCTGCTGTTTGTTTGATTCTTTTTGTGGTCTAACAAAGGTATTGCCTACTCTTTTGCATTTGTATAATCTTAAGGACCACACCGTCTTTCCCTAATTTTTACTAGAACAGCTAGTTAGCCATCCAGCTGAACACCTAACTGAAGACTGCTGAGCTCAAGTGAACAACATTCTTTCTTAATAAGCTACAGCTTTAAATTCACAGCAGGCCTGAAATTGCTTGAATGCCCAGGGCTTCAAACAGGGTAACTGTGTGGATGTTTGGAAAAAGGGAAGTTTGTAATGTGGATGCCCTTAGACCAACTGCATGATTTTGTAGAGACACAGATTTCTTATCATACACATTCAAGAGTTTCCCTGAAAAGATCTCAACAATTTCACTGTCTATAATACAGGACTCCATTCAAGCATCTCAGAAGGTTCCATTTAAGGAATTAAAATTGCTTGGTTATTTGGTTATGTTTCTACGCACTGTAGAACAATTAGTGCAATAGTGCCAGCTTCACTCAGCTTGCAAAGACTTGTGAGCTAACAGAATGTTGACACAATAAATACTCATTCCATAAAGAATGAGTACTTCAGAGCAGCACCATCTCCTCCAGATCTTTGGTGACTACTCCAGAGAGAGAGAGAAATGAATAACTCAGACCTAAGTTATGCTGCAATTCCACTGGATGAAAAGACTTATATACATGCACACTTACGTAATTAAAAGCACAACATAAATTCTAGACCCATGGAGCTAACTCCCTTCCCCACTTAAATTTGATCCCACAGCAAATAATTGGAATGGGCTAAGCATTTTCTTGGGAACCATAGAGAGTCATTTCTACTACTTGGAAGTTTCATTAGTTAATTTAAGTATAATATCTGAGTCATCTTTATCAGTAGCCTGGGGACAATGGACAAAGCTTTGTTTTCCATAATATCTTCCATTCTAGCACTATGAATGGCATGGAGCTTGTGACACCATTCAGCTTTTTTGAATGATTAATCTGCTGCCTATTTGCCAACTTCAGCTGACTCACTGGGAGGTCCACTGAGGGAATGCAGTAAACACCATGCTCTGTACTAGACAGGCCAACTTTCAAGTTTCTCTCTCTGACCAAAACAAAATTTTGAGAAATACAAGGGATAAAAAGATACTTGTAAGTTGTCTGAAGATCTGCTGCTTATTCAAATGAAAACAAACTGGAACATTGAGCCAGGAAAAGGAATGAGAAGGCACTGGTGCTCTGTTGTTATTATGAATAATGATGGTCAAGGAAAGATTTAGTTTGTACGGCAGAGTAGACTTCAGGCTATTGGACTACGGCAAACAGACAGTCCCCCAAACAGAAGTTGCTTGTCCTATGTTTTAATATTTAATAAAGACTGTAGACACAAATCAATTTAACTGTAATGACTTTGTTTCCAAAATCCAAGGTCATCATTCTTTAAATCTGCATTATAACCTATATTATGAATATTATGGACTCTTAGTTTGCTTGTCTGCTGAGGAATATGATATACATATGAGTGAAGGTTGGTTTTCTAAAGCTGTCACTTTTTGTATCCATGTGAAATTATCCCTGTAATCTCAGGGATTGATTAGGCATTCTTCAGTCTCGAGAGACTATGGTAACGTGTTCGGTATGGAGGACATGGAACAGCGTCTAGTGTGGCTAAAAAGGCCAATTCAAGAGTGACAACCCCTTCCACACTGAACTGGTATCTGCTACTTCCCATTTTATTTTGACGCTGTGTGCAAAGCTGGAGTGTCCTCTCCAGAATACTAAGCCTGAATAAAATAATATGGAGGATAGGCTGTTACCCAAGCAGCAAATACCCCCTCTACACATCGCTGAAATAGTCCAAAGGAAAGGCAAGAGCCAATACAACTGATTCCAGCAATGTCGCAAGAGATGCCAGAACTGCCTCCAGGACTACGGCTCTGGATTTTGCCTCGAGGTTAACTCCTGAAGCCTTTTCCATCAGTAGATATACGAGCCACAAGGCAGTGGAGCTTTGAAATCAGAGTTTTCCTTCTCCTAGCTGGGCTGCCTTCCAAGGCTGATGATCGCTACCTACCCAGTCTGCTCAATCTCAGGGAAGAGACTGGTAAAATCACCTTTCAGATAAAGCCTATGTTCCTCTAGTCCTTAAGTCATATGACAAACAATAAGCTTGTAGGACTGAGAGCAAGATTCTGTTTCCCTGTATTCCTCAAAGATAGACTGCCACCACCCATGGAGGAGAGGTTACTTCTAGGGAACGTCTTGCAAGCTGTTTAGAAGCAGATCAGTGTGTTTGCTAAGCAGTCCAGGGCACAGAAAAGGTCAATATTGAGACTAGGGTCAAATGCATACTTCAAGTAAACATAAAACATTTAGGGCAAATTCTGAAATTTTTAAAAATTCTGCCTTTATAGGGTTTTTTTTAGTGTTGTTAGCACTATAATAAATAACACTTTTTTCTGGAAGCTATTAAAGTTGTCACATCATAGAGATTAAATAAAAAAGGAGAATTTATTTTAAAAATTAATCTTAAAAAGAATAACAATTGATTGTCCCTCACTCACATAGCTGTGACATGCAAACTAGTGTGTACAGAGCCCACAATCTGGAAAGACCGTCAATTTCTCTCTCCATTCACAGTTGCCATACTGGCTGGCAATTCTGGAAGTTGTATTCACATAAAAGAATTTTTCCCCACCTCTTGCTGTGCAACAACTGAGATGATATCTCCCCAGTGTACAGCACAGAATTAGCAAATGGAAGCTCCATGTCTCTTAAGTAACTGGGCCATCCTCTACAATTGTGCTGCATCCCCCTTTTTAAGAAAATGCAGAGCTGTATTTCTATGCCTCTGGAATGGACTCTAGATTCAATCTTGCCAATTGTTTGATGTAGTGTTATTTCCAGAGTCTCTGCCAAGCCCTTATTTAAAGCAGGTCCATAACTCTATAAGGCTGAGTATGCAACCTCATCAGCCAATCTGCTGCTGCACCCTCCTAAAAGGATGGCTGTGATTTTCCAGATTTTTCTGGCCTAATGTCTCTGAGATGGAACAAACATCAGACTGCCATTGGGCTTTACAGAAGTGGTATAGAGGGACTTTGCAAAAATCAGAGCCAGTAACCAAATCACACCAATTTCTGTCAGAATTTAAATCAATGCTGCGTTACATCTTCTCCCTACTACGCAAGGATATTTAAGAAAGAAATCCAGATCAAAGAGGAAACAATGTACGGTATGTGGAATGGAGGTCCAGTTCTTGTGCTCAGGCAACCAGTGTCACCTTCTTGTTCCAAATGGATCACCTCAACCTCAGCTCAATTGTGCTTCATACCACCCATGTACTGTCTCACAAGAAATCTAGCAGAGGCTAGAAGTACTCACTTCAGAGATAACTTACCTGGTTTTGGTGGGCATGGGATGCATCTGCTGACTCCCCAAAAGGCCCCCACACTGCCACAACAGTCTTCATATTTAGATAAACCAAGCAGCGGTTCAGCACACTAGAAAGAAAGCAGAAAAATTAGCATCAGAATTCTAATACTCCCATACTTAAGGAGAAAGATTATGTCAAATGTGATGACCAGCCCCTTCATTCCTACCTTGATTGAAGTTAGAGAAGCCAAAAGCTAACCAGGGATCCTCCTGATGGAACTTTAGCTGCTGAGGTCCAACATGTGGACTTGTGGGAAACTATTTTCTGCTATGTTGCCTCTGCATTGTGGAACCCAGTTTCCCTAGAGCTGTATTCAGTACTTATTCTGACTATTTTGTGGAAAGATATGAAAGTGCAATTTTTCAATTTGGCCTTAAATGAACTGCTTTGTTTATAATAGTGATTTTGGTCATTCAGATGATTTGGCCTCTGGTAATGCTGGCTAGGAAGATTCTAGTAGTTGTTCTGCAAAAAAGTAACTTTTCTAAGCTCTGTTAACTTGTCCACACTCTAGTTTTGAATGATACTTGTTATCCAACTTGAGCACTATTTTTAAGGGAAAGATGGGATACAAATGAACTCAATACGTACATGCATATATGCATACATGCATACATACATATAGGGGAGGGGAAAGATTACAGGTGTGATTTTTCGTGGATTATTGCTAAACTGTAACGGGCACGCTGAAGCCTTTATTATTTCAGGCCTCCAGGAGTGCTCACTCTTCTTCTTCAGTTGCTGCCACCAATATTTCACTTCAGTATCAAATTATTTAAGAAGACAAGTGTTGTTTTACAACTAAAATGTGTTTATTTCAATAACAAAATAAAATGGGTAAATCACTAGTTGTTAATCAAGGTCTCTCACTCACTGACACACACAGACTCTTCTCTCACTGACTTACAGGCTCACAGGCCCACAGACTCACTCATCACTTCTCTCTCACATAACTCATCTCTCACCATCCCCTCTCATACATCATACACCCCTTTTTATCCCAGCCCCTCCCCCTGTAGCACCACCTTCCATTCACTCATTGGCTGCTGTTCCACTGCTCAGCTGTGACGGACAGGTGAGGGCAGGGGTGTCTGCTTTACACTTAGATACTACCATAGACAGCAAAGCTTTACATGGCCAGAGATGTATTTTAAGACAGTACACACTCTTGCAGACAGGAAAACAAGATTTTACCTATCTCTTTGCTTCTTGGAAATCCAGGGTATTAGTATAAGATATAAAATATTACTGTTTGGTTTGAGTAGCAGAGGACAGCCCACAGGTTATCACCAAACAAAGCCTTTGGATAAAACAAATGCCTGTTCTCAGACTATAATCCACTAGTGAGTGAAATGCTGGGTACAGAATTCCAGACCTTCTGGTGACATTTGTGGTGAGACATTTTCATTTTCTTGATGAGTCTCTCTTTTCCTCCCAACAAAGCCCACTGGATTACAGAGTTCCCCACTGAAGCTAAGCTGTCGCTGTCCACAGGCCAAATCTGGCATCTATCCACCCCTTAAAATGGCCATATGCCCAGTGCTCACATTCCAATAAATTTGGCTTCAGACTGAAACGGAACAGAAAAATGTTTCCTGCCCAGGTTTTTAGCCATCACCAAGTCTATTCAACTGCAGACCCTGCTCCAGACAAGTCCAAAAGTGCTTGCTTGCACAAAATCAGTCAGAGGATAATACACTTAAGAAAAACACTAAATGCATGGATCATTTATGATGCCATGGGTCATTTACTCTCATAAAGTGGAACCTGAATTTTCCAATCCTCTTATTAAAGGTAAGAAGCTTCAGATCAAATTTTCTAAATAACTCCACTTAGAGTTGCTTGGCTAATGACAGTAATGTGTTTTGGAAATTGGAATGGAGCTCAGTCTTGCTTAATTTCAAAATGTATTACTTTTTATATGGGTACTAGAAGATTTGTCCATCAAACTGAGTGGAAGCAACTCATTGCTCTTTGGATAGAGGTTTGAAGAAATAAGTTGCTGCATCTCAAGGTCAGAAAGCATCAGTGGTGACCTGAAAATCTGTGGGAAAAGTGCACCATTTATAAAGAACAGACAAGGCTATTCATCTGACCTGTGTATTTCCATATGCAACAAAAGACAAGAAAGGGACAGTAAAAGACAGCAAGAAACAAAGAAAGAAGCTGCATTGCTTTACATCGTGTGAATTTATTTACCCTAGAATCTGCAAGGGAAATTAGTATTCCAAGACAATCAGACGTTTGTTTACTAAGTATGAAAAACAGGTTTCATCAATTTTCCATTAAATCCGCACAGCAGCTATAAAACAGACATTGTCGGGACTCAGATTCTTTGAATGCATATTGTGTGAGCATGACAGATAGAAAGACAACAGCAAAGCCTGTAAGAAAAAAAATCTCAGAAAAATAGTCAAGGTAGCAGCTTCAGATCTCCCTTAAGGATCCATCTGCATTGCCCCTAACTTATTGGAACCAGATGTGCTCTCTGAACAAGTGCAGATTGCTTCAGGAGGGTTCAAACCACATGTACAATTAACTTTTTTCTTTGCATGGGTTTTTGTAAAAGGAATGAACCCAGAGCATGGATGCCTATGTACATGGTGTTATATCACCCAGCCGAGAATGCAAGAAACCATCATGTGTTCCTTAATAGGCAATACAAGATTATTTCCTAAACCTCTCCTTGACTCTTGAAAACAATTCACAGAGACACTTCAAATGAGACAATGAGATAAGAATGAATCTTATCATTTGACATCATAATTTGCTGCTTACTTCAAAGCTTCTACAATATACGTATTAGTGCCACACTAAAACATTAAAATTGAAATTAGGGATACATTTGAAAGCTCAAAGCACACACCAAGTCCACATTCCAATATCTCAGAATCTTGTCATGAATTTGTTCTAACATATAGTAGGGAATCAGCACAACTGTCAGCTCCAGTTTCCCCCATGTTTTAATCCTGCAGAGTTTGATAAATTACAACAAAAAAGCACTTTTTAATTAAATTCTCCCCATTCTATACCCTACCACTTGATCAACCATTGCAACATAGAATCTAAAAAGAGCCACCTACATCATTCACATGAACATGTTCTTGCCCCCTCCTGCCCCCCCATATTAAAACTATCAATAGAGGCTGTCTTATATAACCTTCCCGCCAACCTAGCGGTTCGAAAGCAAGCAAATGCAAGTAGATAAATAGGGACCACCTCGGTGGGAAGGTAACAGCGTTCCGTGTCTAAGTCACACTGGCCATGTGACCACGGAAGATTGTCTTCGGACAAACACTGGCTCTATGGCTTGGAAACGGGGATGAGCACCGCCCGCTAGAGTCAAACACGACTGGACAAAAATTGTTAAGGGGAACCTTTACCTTTTACCTTACGTATATAACCTAATCTAGCTTTTTGCCTACTGGATGTCGTTTATACTACAACTCATACTCCAACCATTATAATCCAATATATCTAGAAAACAGCATATAAGGGAGGTACTTATATTTTGCTGGAACAAGGAATGCAGCCGGTATCAACTAAAGTAGAACTATTAAACCAATGGGAACTTGGTATGTCAACACAGATGACTTTTTTGCAGCTGTGCTTGGCTTGGGATTCCCTGGCTCGGTGATGGCTAAAAACCTGGGCAGGAAACATTTTTCTGTTCCGTTTCAGTCTGAAGCCAAATTAAAATTTGGTAAAAAATTAAACTGGACTTTTCTTCTTGATTTTCTAGAGTGATTTTTAACTTGAAGTGATTTTAATCATAATGATACATCCCCTTTGGAGCTGCAAACGATCTGAATAACAATCCTCAATATTTTTAATATCAGCTGTTTTGCACCAAATTGTTTTCATTTGCTTTGATCTATACTATTTATTTCTACTGCTTCTTTTTCCTTGATGAGGTTTCTATTATTATACTTGCATTTTACATCATTTTGCATGGTCAACTGCCTTGGACTTTCTATGGGATGACACATGTTTTAAATAAATAATATACATTGCTATTTTGTAGACAAATAAATACACATGTTCACAGTTCATTGGACCCATTTATTTCACTACTGACAGCCTACTGTCTTAGGAAAGAGTGTGCCTTATCCCAACATTTCAGGATAAAATAATCACCCTGCTTAAACCATGGGCCTCCCATGAGTCCCATATTCTCGAAATACGTATCAACCATACTTCCAATTTGCAGATAAAATGGAATAAGAGAACTGATCTGACCTTTCCATGTATTGTCTCCAGGTAACATTTCCCCTCAAGGTCCTGCAGCTTCTGCTGCTGGCTGCTCTCTGTGATGATGTTGTTGTTGCTGCTGCTGCGGCTGCTTTCACTATCATTGTATTGGGGGCTTGTGGGATGCTGAGGTACCAAAACAGCTTCAACGCTGTTCTCTTCTGACTGGTCTGAGTCACTCTTCACTCTGGCCACCTGATGGATCTGCACTGCAGCTTCAGGAGGGTGGTTGATATGTACATTCACAAGGGAAGGGTTTCTTGAAGCTGGAAGAAAAGTTGAATATTTACAAGCAGACTCACAATGGTGCTCCTTCTTCTGCAATAGCCAGAAACCAGCACAAGGAGCTTCCAGAGTGGTATTTTTTTTAAAAAAAGGTAAGGAGGGTAGAGTGCAGCAATTTGGACATTTATTTTAACCACCCTGGTTCTCAAACCAACAGTCAATAATTATAAAATAGCTCACAAGACAAAAGCAAATAAAACTAATTTAAATAAATTAATGAGATTAAATACAATAACATCTGGTTTGACACGAACCCCAGAGGAAATGAAGAAACCAGTGAGCTTTGGAATGTAGACAAAGGGCCTTTCTGGATGGACGATTCCTCACATGAGCAATTAGAAGGCACTATGCAGCTATTCTGACTCTTTCTAACTCATGGATTTTCCACTGTAACAAAAAAGGTGGAAGAAATAGTGGAAAAATAAGAGAAGGATATAAATGGAGACCAATGACATCTGACAGCCTGTAAAATTCAGTGAACAAAAAAGGACAATGTCATGACAAGTGGATCATATGGAACTGCTCATGGAAATAAATATCATCTATTAATATCAGGGTTCTGCCTAGACTAGGAATATGCAGCCCTCCAGATACTACTGAACTGCAACTCCCAGCATCCCCAATCACTGGCTAGTCTGGCTAGAACTGAGAGGAGTTACATTCTATATCTAGAGGGCCAGACATTCTCCACCCCTGGTCTAGCATGTATACATAAATAACCAAACAAAGAAGGCTTACTAAGATGACAGATGTATTTATATGAAGGTAGTTTGGATTTTTTTAAATTTTTTTGTGGTGGGTTTAGCAATTTCTGGAGGTCAGGAGGTACCCTGTGACTTCCTACTCTACTAGGCTTCACTCATGAAATTCAACAAAATGGTCACAAAATGGCCCATATGTTGCCCAGAAGCTTTGCATTGCCCATTTCTGCTTCATCAGACTATTAACCAACTGATTTGGAAGCATTCTTCTGCATTACAGGCATATAAAATCTCTCAGTTTATCTCCTTTCTTACATTTCAATCTGATCAGAGAATAATTAAAACACAAATAACATTATTTCCTTTCTTCAAAGTGCTGTGAATGAGGCAAAGCAAATGGACAGTAAAAGTTTTGTCGGTAAGCAACTATGGATGGCACAGAAACAAGATAAGCTTCACACACAATGGCTTGTGAGATAAGCAATGAGACTGGAGCTTACCAAGTTGGTTGGAAAGAGGAAGTGTGTACATAGAATGCTTCACAGAGCCACTTGCCAGGCTATTTGGCACTTGTTTTCTTTCTGTTTTTGAAACTGGTAAGTGGCAAAACTTTCCTGTAGAATTAGAGGGGCACCAGCATTCATCCCGACCCACACAGCGTCCCCCATTGAGACAGGGAATCTGGCAGAAATCTGTAAAGAAAACAAATCTGTAAAACTAATATATCAAAAGAACTGCCGGAAGACTTCACACCAGCCATCAAAAAACATAGTATCTGTGTCCAACTTCGCATTTTTCCTGCAGTCACAAAAATTTTTGAAGATGTTCTCAGTTGGGAAGGATGTCAATGAAGGGAAGTGTTATTTTTCATCTCACTGTGGCTTCTCTTCAGATTGTATACATATTTTGCCTTTAATTTTTTGCCTTTTGCTTGTGATGTTTAGATTTGTTTCAAAGTCATTTTTAATGTGGTGAAGGGGTTTGAGTGTGTCAATGAAGCTGAGAGCAATGCCATCAGGAGGCCAGACTCCATTATGAGCCTGGACCCCTAGAAGAGTCATCTAAGATGGAATGGCCACTGTTGAGAAACCAGACTAAGATACTCCCATTCTCTTCAAGGTAGCTACTGGCCGACAGCAGTAGATGAAGATGACACTGGTGAAAGAGGCAAAAGTGGTAAGTACATAACTGGAAATGGTAAATGCAGAATCTGTTTGCTCCATGCCAGAACAAGACCAAGGAGTATAAATTATTAATAACAAAAATTTGAGTACAGTTGAAGGGAAAAAAACTAAAAGTATCATAGTGCCATATAAAGAACAGATCTGCATTACTAAATTCAGACTGAAATCAATAATATTAGCATAGAAGTATGCAAAAAGACTATTCATGCAGTAAAAGGAAAAGCCTAAATGGATGATTAATGGAATTCTTAAAATTGTTACTGACAGAAAAGTGCAAAAAAACTTATGTAAACAATAGGATCAGAATCTGCAATTCTTCAGCAACTGTCATGTATAAACTATTACAGTAATCAATTCAAAAAAAGCAGAGAACAACAAAAAGGGAACAAAAAAAATCTTCCATAAGGTCCAAGAAATCAAAAGGAGATTTAAACCTAAGTAAGGAATCCTAAAAGATAAACAGGAGTACATATTATCTGACCAGCACAAAACAAAGATGGAAACAATGGCCAAAATCCCATGCAGTAAATTATGCCTGCATAACTGTGATGATGTCATTAGTTAGAAGAGATTTCCAGTAATGAAAAAGTTTTTCCTTCAATCTCAGGAGTCGCCCAGTTGCCCACAACTTCCTCACAATCAGTCTCTTTGCTAGTGAATCATTTAAGCCTCAGAATCAAAGCAGTGTTAGGCCAGAGAGTCTGACACTTGAACATTTCTCCAAAAGCTCTACAGAACATCATAGAGCTCTAGGAAATTTTTTAAGAAACCTTTATTCACCACAGGTGGCATTATTAAAAAGAAAGAAAGAAAGGAGGATTCATTCCAGAACAAAATCAGACAATCATTTCCAATCATATAAAAATTCATCTGGGTATCAAGGTACAGTATAAGTCTTTTTACTGTTGCAATGATTCCAGGTAACATTGTTTAATTCTACAAGTGGTGCCTCGCTTAACGACAATAATCTGTTCCAGGAAAATCGCCGATAAGCGAAAACATCGTAAAGCGAAATTAAAAACCCCATTGAAATGCATTGAAAACCATTCAATGCGTTCCAATGGGGTCAAAACTCACCGGCCAGCGAAGATCCTCCATACGGTGGCCATTTTCGCTGCCTGTATAGCGAGGAATCTGTCCCTAAGCACAGCGGGGAGCCATTTTAAGCACCCGGTGGCCATTTTGAAAACCCGACGATCAGCTGTTTTTGATCGTCCTAAAGCGAAAATCGGTTCCCGAAGCAGGGAACCGATCATCGCTAAGCGAAATTCCCCCATTTAGACCATTGTTTTGCGAGCGTAATTGCGATCGCAAAAAGATCGTCGTAAAGTGGATTTGTCCTAATGCGGGGCAATCGTTAAGCGAGGCACCACTGCACATGCTTTATTTCTTTACATTACTTCTGTGCTACATAAACAGAAAAATACTTCAAATATTGAAAACATCCAAAAGTCTTACAGCTATAGAAAACTGTAGGCACAAATGCTTAAAATATATGAATTGTAAGTTTAAGTTGCAGGCAAATACTTAAATTAGAATTCAGTCCCAAATGCTGGGAGCATAAAAAGTACAATAAAATTCTAAAAAGTATGTTTTAATTACATTCAAACTTGCAAGAGCTTATAGCCTAAAAAGGTATATTGAAAAAAGAGAGGAAACAACTTTTAAAATACCAACGTTCTTAAAAGTAAAAATATATTAAAAGAAAATGACTTTCATAGCCTTTACGCATATTAAGAACACATACAAAATAATTCTAAATGTTCACCCAGCCAAATCAGTTTGAATCTATGGAAGAAAATTCATGTTGTTCTTGCTTGCTGCTACTGTTTCTGCTATATGATTGTTGTTGATATTCAGTGTGTGTGGCATGGTTTATTGTACTGAGATGATGATGATGATGTCTGTGTGATTCCTGCCTCCCTATATTTATAGTTCTTTCAGATACAGTATTCATAATTTCCTTTCAAACTGTAAACATTATCTTTTCCAGGCCCTGGAAGTTATAAGAGGTCTGATGCACCAAAGAAAATTTTATAATACTATTGCTTTTGTATCTCCTGTAAAGTACAAGGGCTTATAACTCAGAATCTGTCACACTGCCACCACAATGATAAATATTATTGTTGTGACTAAAATTTGCAAAAACTGGAGGAATAAAGGTGTGTAAAATAAAGGATCTAGTATCCCAATATACTGCAAAACCAGGGTATAATAGCTACAGAGATTGCAAGTTAAAAGACTTGCAAATGCCATCTCCTGTAAAATTAAGACGTTCATTTCTTTGCCATGCAGTGTTATCATACAATGGCTTTACTTTCAGACTCAGCTCGAGCTAGCAAATTATTTTGCAGTGACTTTTAGTAAAATGCTGTTCAAATTTCATTTTAAATTACAACATATATTTTCAGGTTTGCATTTTCTACATTGCTCTTAATTGTTTTAACATGCTACACATAAAAATTTACATATTGGAAGCAAGAACTCTTTAATTACCAACAATCTCTGCCGGGAAAATTACATTACTAGAAACAGCAGATTGCCATTAATTAATTCCTGTCTTGATCCCAGAGCTCACTTGACTTGCCTGCAATAAAATGGATCTTGAGAGAGTTGTGGGGAATCTGGGAAATCCTTGAGACTGAAGAAGGACAACTTTAATTATCGACAATCTCCCCCTACTGGTAACTTCATCACCCTTACAGTTTATTGAACAGGATTTGGGTTGTTGTGCAGAACTACACAGATGGGATATGGAGGTGACTTATTCCCTTAACAAAGAAGCCTGCGATGAAGAACGTGGAATTTTAGAAACTGAAGTGAAGCTGTACTTGAAGCACATAGATGAAATAAAACACTAGGAGTAAGTGGGACACAAATAGAAATATTTCTTCAACTTATTAAATCATAACAAGAAAGTAGCAACAAATACAGAAAACAAGACTATGGTTTTCATACTGCAAACATTTGGTATATATTCCAGGAAACGAGATCCCAAAGAATGCAGTATCTATGGTTGTTGTTGTTTAGTTGTTTAGCTGTGTCCGACTCCTTGTGACCCCATGGACCAGAGCACGCCAGGCCCGCCAGACCCTCCTGTCTTCAGTATCTATGGTAAAGGTAAAGGTTCCCCTTGACAATTTTTGTCCAGTCGTGTTCGACTCTAGGGGACGGTGCTCATCCCCATTTCCAAGCCATAGAGCCAGCGTTTGTCCAAAGACAGTTTTTGTGGTCACATGGCCAGTGCGACCTAGACACGGAACGTTGTTACCTTCCCACTGAGGTGGTCCCTACTCGCATTTGCATGCTTTCGAACCGCTATCTATGGTACTACTGTATTGATTTCTTGTGGAAGGAAAGTGATGCTCAAGATTTTGCCAGGATGTTTACTGTATATGGAGCAAGAAATGCCAGGTGTTCAAGTGAGATTCAGAAAAGGAAGAAGCACTAAAGATCATACTGCAAATATATATTGGCTACTGGAACACATGAAGAATTTCAGAAGAAAAATAGTCTATCCTTCATAAATTACACCAAAAACTTTGATTGTGTAGATCACAAACACCAATGGATCATTATTTTTTAAAAAATGTATACCACAACAGAATATGAAAGAAAATGGTTCCACACTGGCAAAGGTATCAGACAGAGATATATCTCACCTCTCTGTTTGTTCACTTTATATGCAGAATGTTTAAAATGGACATAAAATATTGATGCTTTAGAAATACATTACTGGAGGAGAGCTTTACACATATTAGGAATGTTAGAAAAATAAATTAAGTGGGTGCTAGATCAAATCAATCTTCAACTCTCTCTAGAAACAAAAAAGATTAAACTGGAGGTATCATACATGGGCATATTGATATAATGCAAGACTCATTGGAGCAGATGACAATGCTGAGAAAAGTTGAAGGCAGGAGAAGAAGAGTAAATATGAGATGAATTGACTCAACAAAGGATACCACAGTCTTGTATTTACAAAGCCTGAGCAGGTGTGTTAAGGACAGGACCTTTTTGAGGTCACTAATTCATAGGGTTGTCATACGTCAGAAATCACCTGAAAGCACATAGCAGCAATCAGCACTGGCTATGTGGATAATGGGAACGGATGTCTAAGACTTCCCTGGAGCACTGGAGAGTTGGTTGTTCTGTCAAGTTCACTGAAATTTCCTCTACAATTACAGCATCATCAAGATCTAAAGAAAATATTTCAACTGCCTTAATAATTAAGAACAGCATTAAAAGCTTCAGCCAACACTTCTAGTTTCCACACAAGTGAAAGGAAGGGATTGGAAGAAATTAGGTGTAGGCCGGGGATCAGCCCAAAAAGCTGATGCCAAAGAAAGCAGTGAATTGACCCTAACAAAAGAGAAATGTTGCAACGCTGAAAGCCTGGCTGACAATCTGTCAGAAAACCAGAGATTTTTATATCCAAAGTAAAGACAAAAAGGGTAATTGTAATTGAATTATTGTCCCGGAGAGAAGAGGACGAATATCAAAGAAGACTGCTTAATTTTCAGGCAAGTGGGTGTTTGCATGTCCTAATCCTGCTGTGAATGCTTCCTCTTTAGGGAATTGCCAGTCATTAACAAAAGTAACAGAGGAAGATAAATAAACCTTGTGATATGGTCAGACATCTTTGAAGACTCACACATACGAAAGCCGGATTTGGGGTCATGGTCATGTCCACCCTGGCTATATAAGGTGGTGGTGTCCCCTTTCTCACAGCTATTGTAGCAGCGGCCATGCCGACAAGTCTGTTTACAGATTGTGGGAGTGAAGACAATCTTTATCTTCCTGATTTTTTCTGTCAGGTTGACACCTGTAAAGAAAAGAGAAGAAACATCATTAAATAAAAAGGTGACTGAGCAAGTCATGCATGGAAAAGGATTATGTTGTCAACAAGTTCTACCTGTAAACTGTTCATATCATATTGTGGGTCTCTCTAGGTTGAACTGCATGTTAACTTTAATGTTAATATATATCACATGACCACACCCCAGTGCTTTTTTCTTAACCAAAAGCAAGTGTGGGAAACCTCTTTTGAGAGGAGAGTGTTGGGGCTTTAACCTTTAGCTCTCTGCTGGAATATTGTGCAGGGGTTGCGCCAAGTACCTTTCATTCATTTCAATAGGAGATTCTTTTCCTGAGTAAATTTCAGGCTCAAAAGCCCCCAACAGGACTGGGAATATATGATGAGGGCAAAGGATTAGATCTCTCCCCCACCCCTTTGGTATTGATTCTGATCACATCCTCTGTCCTTTCTAAATGGTAACACGTGTAGGTTGGATTTTGGTCTCACTCATATAACAGTGATTTGTGCGCCATTTCTCTCTTCTAGTTGACACAAAACAACTGTTGCTTTCATGTCTGGATACTTTTTCTGTTTGTTTGTTTGTTTGTTTGTTTGCTTGTTTGTTTGTTTCATCCTTCTTCCTAATCCCTTCATTTAAATTATTATTCCTTGCATCTACTTCACATAATGTTCTCAATATAAAATATTTACAAACTTTGTAAAAGCATCATTTTTTACGCTTAAAGAATGAGCTTCAAAAATTTTTAAGCTTAAAGGATGTGCTTGTGGTTCCTATCAAAGGATAGGAAACACAAAAAGTAATCACACATATTGTTAATGTGAAAAACTATAGGGATTATACAGTGAATAAAACATACATTTTAAGGAGCGAATAAGAGTGAAAAAAAGGAAATGAATAAGCACACAACCAGCAGTAGATATATGGGGTGTTTGTGTATTTAAAAGATTTTTTTTCTCCTTGTATGTCTGTCCTCATTCCTTTTCCTTTTTTTTAAATGATGGAGACTGGGAAAGCTACTCTGAAGGGAGGTTTGGATACAATAATACCTTCCACCCATATGTCTCAGTAAAGCACATGTAGTTGCACTCCACTCTTCTATCTTAAAAAAAAGGGGGGGAGGACCAATATGTTCTGAATATATAGAGAAGCAGTAAGGTGAGGACATCTGTTTCGTGCTTGTACCTTTCTTGCCCTCCATATTTTGCATTCAGTGTGCTCTGTTTTGTGATTGTTCACTGGAAGACAAACATGGGTTCACTTTTTAAAGTCTGATTGTTAAGGCATACATGTTTGAAAGGAAAAACAAGTTAATCACAGGGACTGCATATTATTCTTAACTTCTAGCTCCAAAAAAATTTAAGCCAATCTGCTGAGATAAGGGAAGAAGAATGTTGGTGAGAACAATTATGAAGAAGGAGGTGTCAAGATTATCGGAGAAGTTGACAGCAATGTTGGAGCAGCATGTGGGTGCCACAGAAAGGCCAGTCTGGGAAAGAGACTGAAAAATGGCTTGAGGGTACTAATGGATGGAACTGATGGATTCAGGCTCTAGAGCAAGGTTTAATTTGTGCTAGGGCTGATAAGCAATCTACTTTCCCATGCCATAGCTGGAAGTAATGGAGACAAATAAGGTGAAAGGAACAAGACTTCCATATAGGCCAAAACTCACCAGGTCATATTCAACCATGTCTGTCTGCTAGTGGAACAGACACCTCTGATGGAAGGCATTCTCCCTCCCCTGCCTGCACATCCTAAAGTAGCTGTGGTCTGTCACATTGAAAAGAATCCAAATGGCAAAATGCTCAATATCAGTCTATGAAAAACTGAAACACTGATCTGCATCAAATTAAAATGTGTTTCACCAAGAAAACTCCCACCTAGTTCTACCCGTTTCACTCATGTGAGTCAGGAGGTGAGGCTGAGGAGCTTGGCGCTGAGGGAGGCCCGGAAGGAAAAAAAACAAGAAACCGGGCCTTCTTGGCAGTGGCTCCTCGCCTCTGGAACAATCTGCCTCCCGAGATCCGCGCAGCCCCTACGCTGGGTATTTTTAAAAACCAATTGAAAACATGGATGTTTAGGCAGGCCTTCCCCCCAGTTAAATCCTAATTTTCTTCCCCTCTTTTTTTTTAATGACTTATTCTGTTCTTCTTCCCATCTTGTAGAATTTCTCTAATTGTGTAAAACTATTTTTTTTATGTATCTGTTTTTTATATTTGCATTGTAAGCCGCCTAGAGTGGTTGCAATGACCAGATAGGCGGGGTAGAAATGGAATAAATAAAATAAAAAATAAATAAAAGAGGAAGAAGAAAATGGTTTTATTTTCAGAACAAGAGTTTAGCTAAATTACACAGAAAAGCTATAGGATAATACATTGCCTAGCCTTAAAAGATAATAATGAGTTGTCAAGTCATTCTGACTTCTGGCGATCCTTTTCAGGGTTTTCCAGAAAATTCTATGCTGATGTCCTTGTCTCATATACATAACACGACCTTCCAAATGGATAAGAAACTGTGATTTGGCGTTTTTCCACAGCAGAGCAGAAAAGATTTTTGGGCTATGGAGCTCCAAAATGCCTACATAACTTACCTAATGGAGTGCCCCTCCTCTTACACCTGAAGAAAGCCTGCAGTCAGAAACATCTCTTTGTCAAAAACAAACAAACAAAAAACCATTTGAGTCATCCTTCAAACCTTACCCCAGAGGGATGAAGAGGTCTCTGGATACGCTGCACGTGGCCCATAGTTGTTCTGTTCAAATCCATTCCCATTGGGCAAAGCATTGGATATTAGGTGATCATTATTTGCAGCTGGATACCGTCGGACAGTGCGGGATGGCCCTGTGTGTGACTGAGGAGTAGCAAGGGCACCGTTTCTGCTCTGAGTCCTGTGGAAATGAAAACTGAGCTAATAATTGTATATAATTATATACCAGCAACAGTTATTTCAAGACCACGAGGTAAATTTATGGTTGTTTCAGAGGAAGAAAGAAGGAACACCCTATACATTAGTTACATCGGGAGCAATTGGCTACTTTTTGGCTGTTCTGTCCCAGAAATTTCTCCTGCACTTTTATTAGGTAACTTCATTGCATAGCATTACAAAAGATATCTGCAAGAGTTCCTCTCCCTCACAGCTTGGAAATATTATGTTTGGATTACAACTGTTAGAAACTGCTAGCCAGCACGCCTAATGAATATGGTAGCAGATACATACTGTACTGGCCATTGTAATACAAAATGTAATTTTCCCATGCAAGGCTGGCTGTGACTTAAGACAACGGGAAAAGATCTTCTTCGTCGACCTTGTGCCACTTATGTGTCAGCAATGTGCCAAACATGCAATACTCCTCCAATGGAGACCTAACTGATGCCAATATGGCAATTTTTTTAGCACCGGCTCAGAACCTTTCTATTTATCAAGCAGTTTTAATTGATCAGTTCTGTATGTTCTATTGTATTTGATGCCTTTTCCTAGTTTTTATAATGTTGTGCTGCTTTTATTGTGTCATATATTGTTTTTAATCAGTGCACTACCCTCTAAGCATATTTAAGTAATTAATAAAGAGCCTTCAAGCAAAGTTAAAACGATGTCAGGAATTGGATATATATTGTGCTCACCCTTCTGTGTGAAGCCACAACCTCTTGCTTTCTAGGCACACCTACTCCTTGTGTATTTCTTCAGCACCATGAAGAAGCGGGATGCCCATTCCTTACTTGCAAAGGCAGTCCCATAAATCTGCCTAACTGACTCCTCCTCCCTGGCTTCAAATTGGCTTCACTCTGTGTTAGATGGAAGTGTGTGCACTGCTTGATAGAACAAATGTAGACATGTATTTTAAAACTCCAGTAACCTCCAGATTCTTACCCCTAGGGCCCTATGGGGTAGTATGCATGTCTCTTTTCAAATGCCTTGTTTCGTGATTTAGGACGAGGTGGGCAAAATACAGCCTTCCAAGTGTTCTTGGTTTGTGACTCCCATCAGCCCTAGCCAGCCCAGTCAATGGTGAGGAATGCTGGAAGTCTAAGTCTAAGGTCTACAAGGTCAAACTTTGACCAGCCTTGGTCTAGAACAGTGGTCCCCAATCTTTGGCCTCCAGGTGTTCTTGGACTACAACTCCCTGAATCCTTCACCACTACCTCCGCTGGCCAGGATTTCTGGGAGTTGAAGTCCAAGAACATCTGGAGGCCCAAGGTTGGGGATCACTGGTCTTCTAGAAGATATAAAACTGACAGACAGAAACACATCCTCTTTCATAATTATAAACTGCAACTTTATGGATATAGAACTGACAGACAGAAACACATCCCCTTTCATAATTATAAACTGCAACTTTATGGGTCATTCTTAGGCCAGTCAATGCACCTCAGGAAAGGGTACAATCCAAATTTTTAAGAACCATTTTATAGGTCCCCAATTGTGTCACAAATTCCAGGATAAGACTGGAGACAGATGCCTAAAAGTAGAAGCCTGGATTAGCATCCTCTCTATATACACATGGTTGAAGACCTATCTTATCCCTCAAGGGCTGCTTCCCCGATATTCATTGATAACTTCCAATTGATCTGGGATATATCTGTTCAGAGCTATATGATGAAAATTGGTGTCCATCCCCATGTCGTTCTATTATATGGATTATACCAGGCCCAAAAAAACTTGTTAAGCAAAGAATTGAGGATACTGAGCACCAATCAGATATTTCCAGCTTACAAAACACTGTGGCAAGGGCCTATGTTAAAAATGTTATAGAACCAGCTAATTATCTAACATCGCTGAAAGTAAAAGGGTTTAGGAGAGTTTTTATGCTGGCAAGGTGTGCTGCCCTCCCCTCTGCTATGCTTGAAGGGAAGTACAAGAATGTCCCACTTGCTAAGAGGCTGTGTTCCTGCTCCCTTAGCAAGCTCGAGTCCATGGAGCACGTGTTTTTCCACTGCCCGCATTATGCAGTAGTGCAAAATCAGATTATTACCCCATTGACTGAAAACATCCCTGGCCAATGAGATAAAACTAGATTGGAGTATCTCCTCTCAGATAGGGATAGTAAGGTATCATACAAGGTAGCTGGGTTCTGTCTGGTGATTCTCAAGTTTCAGAAATTTTCTCATACAGTGGTGCCTCGCATTACGATGTTAATTCGTTCCAGCGAAATCGCTGTAGAACGAAAACGTTGTAATGCGAAATAAAAAAGCCCATAGAAACGCATTAAAACCCGATTAATGTGTTCCTATGAGCTTGAAACTCACCGTCCAGCGAAGATCTTCCATAGCACGGCCATTTTTGCTGCCCGTGCAGCGAGGAATCCGTCCCAGAAAAGAGCGGGGAGCCATTTTTTTTACCCAGTGGCCATTTTGAAACCGCCGATCAGCTGGCCGAAAATCGTCGTTTTGCGTGAATCGGTTCCCGAAGCAGGGAACCGATCATCGCAAAGCAAAATTCCCCCATAGGAAACATTGTTTTGCGATCGCAAAAGCGATCGCAAAAACTTCGTCGTAATGCGATTTCGTCGTTAAACGGGGCGCTCATCTTGCGAGGCACCACTGTACTTGACTCTGGTATTGGTATGAAGGGTTTTGAATCGCTTGTATATTTGTTGATTTTATACTTGTATAGTTGTTTGTTTTATGTCTATGTTTGATGTTTTTACGTATTACAGAGACTGTGTGGATCTGTGTTGTCCACCTCTCTGTATGATAGGTCTAAGGACTGTAAATAAAGAATTGATTGAACTGTAACTCCATTACTTTAAACTGTAAACTGCCTTAGTCTTTCGGTTTCTCACACATGTGTAAGTAAATAGACTGAATAAACATCTCATCCAATATCATTTCAGGCTTCTTTTTCACAGCTGCTTCCTGAAAATTCAGCCCCTCTGGTATCAACACAGGAATCTCCACACACCAGGTTTACAAAGGAACATGAATAGATTACATTTGTTTTCAGCTTCAGCTGTACATTTCCAGAACAATCCTACTGAGGTGTATCACCATTCAACCCACACAAGCTGTAGCCATGCAAACAGAATAAAGAGAAGTGCCCTGGGCATAAGAGCTAGCATGGTTGTGACTATGTAATAATATATCCACTAGGAAATCTGGTGACTATGGCAAGCCTCTCACTTTAATTGCATCTTAGAATAATGGAGTTGGAAAAGGCCTGATAAGACCATCAAGTCCAACTCCCTGCTCAATGTAAAAGGTAAAGGTAAAGGTTCCCCTTGACAATACAATTTTAGATACACAAAATGGTTGAGAGTACAAGATGAACGGTGAGGTTGTATTCACAGAAAAGAATAATGAAGTTGGAAGGGACCTTTAAGGCCATAAAGTCCAAATCCCTGCTCAATGTAGGAATACAAATCAAAGTACATATGAGAGATGGTAGTCCAATTTTCTCTTGAATGGCAAGTTCTTTCAGTCTTTCCTCATAAGGCTCAAGAATACGATACAGTCCCCAGATTATCCTTGTTTTCCTCCTTTGAACCTGTTTCAGTTTGTCTGTATCCTTTTTTCAGGCCTGGTGTCACGAACTGGACATAGTACTCACGACCAGCCCTAACCAATATTAAATAGAGGGGAACTAGTACTTCATGTGATTTGGAGACTACCTATATTTCTGTTAATGCAGCTGAAAATAGCATTGGCCTTTTTTGCAGCTGTATCACACTGCTGGCTCACATTCAGCTTGTGATCTACATCAATTCCAAGATCCTTCTTACATGTAGTATTGCCGAGCCAGGTATCCACCATCTTGAAACTGTGCATTTGGTTTCTTTTTCCAAGGTGTAGAACTTTGCACATCTGTGTGAGAACCTGTTTTGTTACAACCAGCATGTGTTAAATGGACACTAAAGATATGAGTGATTGTTTGGAAACCTATTCACCCTATGTAAGGGTTGGAGTAGTTCATTCTCCTTCCTCATCTTTGGCACTGAGAAGGGTAGCAATGTAGCCAAGAAAGGTGCCTGGCCAAGGAAATAAATAGAATATATAACTCATAAAAGTAATATAGGAAATAAACTTCACAGGGAATGAATAAGCATTAGTGAATTTGCAGCTTTTCTAAGTAATGTTATTTATGATCCCTGACTTTTCACAGGAGCCAAGAGACAAAAACATGCATAACCTCCCAAGTTCTCAAGGCCAAATACTTTAGTGCCCATTTAATACATACTGCTTGTCACAAAACAGCAGCTCACACAAAGCACAGCTTATTTTAAGTCAACAATTCTAAATCCTCCTCCCCCCTTAGGCTACTCAAACCAATGCTGCCCTACTAGTTTCAATTTTCTTTCTGAGGAATCAGTGCCAATCCAATAAGACAGCTTTGCTTGTAAACACCATCCATGCCGTCTAATTTTCAGCATCCTAAATAAGCTAAGAATGAGTAATGAGATCTCCAAACAAGTGTACATTAAGCCAACATGAAACATCAGTTCTTATTGTTAGCATAACCATGCCCTCAGTCAGTTTTATGTATGAGTTAGCCCACAAACAATGCCTAGAAGGAAAGCGCCATCCTAAACATGAAAGATTTTGATTCATGATTTGCCGCTAAATCATTAGATCATTGGCCATGCATGATGATAACAGTGTAACTTTTGGGAACCAATTGCATCAAGTTAGGAAACTACTATATTCAAGAACTTATTTCCAATATTTATAAACCACCCAATGTAGCGACAAGCACTAGACTGGGCAGTTAATTCTGACCCCCCCCCCAAAAAAATTACCTCACCAAACCCAGCACCACAAAATCAATATCCCCTGACAACACCAGTAAAATTAAACCAGAAACCAAAACTATAGACAGTTATCTCTTGTATATGGAGTCAAGCAACTCAATATGCAAGATATGACCTGAGGCAATTCACTTCCAAAGGTTATACCA